GCAATCTGTCATGTCTTGTCACATGGGAAGCCACTATCCTATCTTTGATGTTGGTCAACCTTCCACTCAGATCAGTATCTGCTGTCCTATGTCTGACCACAGTCAATCTTCACATGATTTTTTTGGAGGGATAAATTCTCTGTCCTACCAATGCAACTTGTCATGTCTTTCAATACCAAGACCATTTGTCATTGTCCAAGCCTTCACCACTGGGGTCAGCCTTGAGTAGATTGATTTAAAGGTACCAAAAGTGAATTAAATAGGTGGTTGGTCCTGTCTGTTTTTCAATGTCAATCCAGGATTCATATGAAGCACACCCTTTGATTAGATAGGATAGTGGCTTCCCATGTGAAAAGACGCTTCTGAGTGACAGCAGACCTCAGAGGCCGATTCTTTTGATGGTAGGAATTGGCCTCTGAGGGGTGTGGCCGCTCTCTCACCCTGTTACGGTTGTTAAGCATAATGGGCAGTTATGTTAAGCTTTCGTGTTCGATCGTTTGTTCGTCTACCACAGTTCTCGTTGTTGAGACAAAGTGGGTCACTACAATGTTCACTTAGCTCTTAAAGCGACACGGTAGGTTCTAGTAGCCTTGCGCCCGAAGGTCAGTCCAAGGTTCTATGATACGCTGACTTCTGTTAAGTCAAACGTGTATTAAGTCTTCAACGTTTGAAGACTTATAGTCAAGGTTTCAAAAGAGGCTCTAAGTCGAAAGACTTATAGAGTTCGAGGGCGATCTTAGTTTCTGAGGGTCTGATGAGGGAGAACTAAGCTTAGATTGCCTAGGTTCAAGCTACCGAATACAAACGAAAAGTACCCTACTTATATACTAAGGGTATGAGTCAAATACGAGTCAGAAATATGAGTTCGTATGACTTGTGTAGAGTCATACGAGTCGTATCTAGTCTATAAGAGTCATATAAATCATATGAGTCAAAGTGAAGGAATCTGACTGGAATGCGTGTCTAGAACTGTCCAGTATGGTCTAGATACGTCTTAGGAGTATGTAAGTGTCTGCATGTATATGTAAGAAAAAGAGTCTGTAACACACCCACATAAAAATCCAAATCAAGCACACTTCTTTTTCTGTCTAAAAATGGCTGGAGCATCAAAGTGACAGCCTGTTGGTTGCTGCACCACTAGGCAGCACTCGACCTACATTACCCGCAGCCAGGGTTTTCCAGCCTGTCGAAAACATAGCAGGTACTCCGTTAAATCTTGAAACCTTTACTCAGCATACATACTCAGGATTCCAAATAAAACCTTGGTCAAAAGTCCATCAGGAGCGCACGTCTGGGACCAGCAGGAATGCGACGGGCCCCCCTGCTCCCCTAGCACACTCTGTAAAATAACAATGTCATGGCTTGAAATTGCACATAATGGTTTCACACTACATGGTGGGGGTTTAATTTATCACCCTGTCCAAAAATGAAAGCAGAATCAATAAAATAGCTGAAAATTGCTTTATTCTGATGCTCAGAATATACACCACTGGCGGCCTTTAAGCTGGAAACCAGAACACCATGTTGGCATATTATATGAGATATCTTTACAGCTATTAAAGATTGTGTAGCACACAGACATCTTACCGAGGACATCAAACATCTTAGCCATGACTCCCATGAGCTCTGCTTGACGATGGTTTGTTTTCTTGGACCTCCCACAATTGCATACCACCAGAATAATCTAACATAAAAATCTGAGTGCTGTTATCTTTAACAACTAGTCCATCTTTAACAATAAGAATACTGAAGAGTTTCTCGAGGCCTGAATTACACGCTGAGAAGTTGAAGTGCCCTGAGTAAATCAGTACTACCCAAATTGTCTCCAAATTGTCTTCAAAAAGCACCTGTACCTTGTGTCGTGAGATCCATATCATCAAATACTATATTAAAAACTTTTCAAGAGCGTGCAGTCAACACTGATGCCTGCAGAAAAGGACCCTTGCAATATTTACTATAATGATGCTGTAAAAATCACTTAAAATCTTGGCTACCTGCTTCACCCTATAGAAAAAGATACCAAAACCAGCTGTAAGATAGCCCAACATCTGAAAGAAATGTGTTATCGAGTTGGCATTGAAGAGGATGTTGGCATAAAACCACGTGACCTCATACGTCACAATTATGACATGTGCTGTGCGTATTACGCAGCACTTACACATCATATGCTGTACATTGTTCTACAGCATTCCGTATGATTCTATGTCAAATATGCGTACATAGTAGCACGGACCATCTCTGTAGAGTATATAAGGACGTCTACTATGCCCTAATAGATTAAGTCTTTTACTTCTAGCTAGTCTTGCTTAGCTTCGCCTCTACACACATAACACCCAAGGTAAGGGCTATGGTAGTGTCAGCTACCTCTGCGCTGCGTGTCCTACACGTGATACATGCCTGTTAATAGGTTATGGGCCCCGATGTCGAACGACGTGCGCTACGGCTGCATGAGTTCTGACAAGCCTTAGCCTTAACAACCTTTGGGCTTGATTGTGCGCCCTCTGGGCTGCACATTGCCAACAGTTCGCTTAATTGCTGAACGTTGTCAAGATTGTTCGCCTCACGGCTGAACGTCAACGCTGTTGCTGTCTGGACATTGACTCTAACGGAGTCGGGTTCATGTCAAGCAGGATGCGCAGTGCGCCTTGAAGGCTGCACGCTCTTAGTTAAAACATCCATGCTGACTCCACCCAAGTTTTTATCTTTCAGATATCTTCTAACAACATGTCCACCAACAAATCCACTTCCCTCTCTGTTAACGACATCCCTCACTTCAACGGTCGTAACTTCCAGGGTTGGTCTGACAAGATGATCGGCATCTTTATGATTGCCAAGGTCTACGATGTAGTCAAAGGCGACCTTGTCAAACCCGCCAACTCTGAGAAACCATCTGCTATCAGACCACCTGCCATGATCACTGACGAAACTGACGCTATCACAACCATGAAGCTCAACGCTCTGTGGACTCAGTTTCAGGTTCAAATGAACCAGTCTAACTATCTACTTGGCATCTGGGAACGGAAGAATTCTGCCTGGACCGATGCTAATTCCCAAGCCATGGGAATCTTTAACCGAGCCCTGGATATCGGGATCTGGGATCAAGTCAAGGCGAAAACCGCCAAAGAGACTTGGGACTGGCTGAAAGAAAAGTATGCCAAGAGTTCCCACCTGGAGATCATGGAGCACTTTCGCTTCATGAAAGATCAGAAGATTGATCTCTCCGATCCCAACCCTCAGCTCGCCAAATTCATGCATCACTACCAGGCACTTCCCCTCAACATGATCAGTTCCGCAATGGCTGCCATCATTCTCCTTTCCAACCTCCCGCTGTCAACCAATCCAAACGTTAGCAACGTTTATCAGAATCTCCTTGAATCTTCCTTCAAGGATGAGGTCGCCACCTCTCTCGTCCTTGAGGACGTTATGACTCAGATACGTGACGTCTGGCAAGCTCGCTTCCTCACCCTCGCATCTCACGATCAGCCCCGGAAGGGGACTACGTACGATAAAGGGAAAGCTCCAGCTAATCAGCCGTTGCAGCAGAAGCAGCAGAATCAGGTACAGCGGAATACCGCTATCAAGGGCAAAGGCCCTACGCCTCAATATTCTCAGCAGCAGAGCGCCGAATCCGGCAGCTCGCAGCAGAAGAAGAAGAGACCCTTCCGACGTGGAGGAAAAGGAAAGAGTGCAAACAACCACAATCATGTGGCTGGAGCCTCTGATACTTTCAACTCCGATTTCGTCCTCGCATCATCGGCAATGCATATTGTCGATACACTAGCATTACCAGCCCCTACAGCTCACTCCGTAGCTTCTTTCAGCGCTGCCGGTCCTTCGATCCGGCGCAAAAGAACTACAGGGCCATGGAAGAACCCTGGGAGGTCTACTCCTCCTTACCCCCATGTGCAGCGATCCCGCGATCTTATGAGTCGCCTTGGGGTAACACCCACTATCCAAACTTCGAAAGAGTTTGAGGGAATCGCTTCCTTGGAGGAAGTAACTGACGGATCCTTTGGAGCCCCCACATATCAGTGGGGTGCATACAAACTTACGGATCCAATCAGGGCTCCCACGCCAGTAATGGCACCATTGCTGGAGAGAATGCAGGTAGACGAACCGTCGCAGGAAGAAGGCGATACGGTATCCCTCGGAGACGAGGAGGAACCGATTCCTCAGGGATCGGATCTATTTGGAGATGACGAAGATGTTGGCGCCTCCATCCCTCAGGGGATGAAGCTGGATCTCGGTAGCGGTGAGTCCGACTACGGAGATGACAGTCCGGAGACCCTTTGTGGTCCGATCGAATCAACTGGCGCGGCAGGACCGTCGAAGCATGTTTGGAATATCGGCATTCCCCAGACCAAACGATGGTACGACAATGACGAGGCCTACGATGGTCCGACTGAGAATGAGTCAGTCCCATTTTGTTCACATAAAGGCGATTCACTAACTGATCCCTCTACAGCTTCTATTAGCGTAGACATAGGTAGATTGTTAGATAAGTATCTAGCCTATGTAAATGATAATTATTGCAAGTTCGTTCTGAATTGTTCAGACTGCAAGGGAAAGAACTCTAAGTTGAATCTCATCGAGTGGGTTGTTGATTCAGGAGCTTCTGTTCACTTCTCAGAAGACGAGTCTGATTTCTCGGAGTTAAACCTCTTTTCCGAGAAAGAAAGACCATTCGCACAAACTGCGAATGGTGCCGCTGCCATACACGGCACAGGCACAGTCTTTGTCAAAACGTGGATAGACAACCCTAAGTCCCCAGAAAAAAAGTCGACCACTATATCCCGCCTACATCCGGTATTCTATATGCCAGGAATAGGGATCCGTCTTCTATCTATGGGATTGCTTCTGAAAGGCAACATGCAAGTCAAGGGAGATGAGCGCACCCTTCGATTCATTGATGCTCAATCTGGAAAGGTGAAAATAGTAGCCGTTACCAGAATCTTCACCGATACGATCTACTGGATCAATTCGGAGATCCTCGCTGGAAGCGAGTTGATCGCGCACAAGTCCATGCATCTAGATGATTTCGATCTCTGGCATCGACAACTTGGACATCCTGGTCAACAGGTGTTTGAGAAATTCGAATCGAGTACACGGAATTTTCCGAAATCGATCGAGATCCCTAAAAATCCGCCGGTGTGTGAAGGCTGTGCGAAAGGAAAGATGCACTCCCGCTCTTTTCCCGATAATTCTGCACGCGCCACACGTCCGTTTCAACGGATTCATTCTGATCTCAAGGAGTTTGCGGTGAAATCTTACCATCACCACAAATATTACATATCGTTCCTCGACGATAACTCCTCTCACTCCTGGATCACACTTTTGAAAAAGAAGAGTGACTCCAAAGTGGCAACCCAGCAGTTTATCGCTATGGTTAAAAACCAGTACGGAGCGATCATCAGCGAATGGATGTCCGATAACGGAGGAGAGTACATTGATCAGAACTATGTCAAACTCCTTAAGGATGCAGGGATCATGATCCAACGGAGCGTTCCGGCTCAGCCGCAAATGAATGGCAGAGCTGAGCGCTTCAATCGTACTATCAATGAGAAAGCGGAGTCAATGCGCCATCAGGCTTGTCTACCTGACAATTGGTGGGAGTTCTGCGTATTACATGCGAACTACCTGTACAACCGCACCCCGATACGGCGCCTTGATTGGAAAACTCCGAAGGGCTATCTTGAAAAAGTAGACCCTGATATCTCACACCTACGTATCCTTGGATGTGGAGCGTACATCTTTATTCACAAAGATCTCCGAGCCAACAAGTTAAGTCCCAAATCAGAAATGATGACTTTTCTTGGCTATCGTGATGGTCGTGAATCGAATTTGATGTTCATGCGTCCACCTAACAACGCCATCTTTACTGCTGCCACGGCACTGTTTGATGAACGTTTGTTCCCAAGATGTGCGAAGAAGAGTAAAGTGCCACCTGTCACACAAATTCAGGAACCCGGAGAACCCGAGATCGTGATTGAGACAGAAAGCGTGCCTGACGATAATTCCGGTGCACCTTTCGCTCCACCCCATGATATATTTATTCCGCCAAGAGACAACGAGAGCACTCATGACGATGTTGAGCCTCATAGTCCTCCTGGATCGCCGCCACCGCAACCCCGACATGCTCCAGGGGGAGCACAGCGTGGTAATGAGCCGCCTCGCCGCTCTGAGCGAGAAAGGAAAGGAACCAGAAAGGACGGGAACGTATACCCGCCTGGCACCTCTACAGACACTGACAGACGTCGTAAATTGCCTGACGCAAACAGCGCAACGTCCGTTCCTAATTCAGGACAGTCGAGCAAGCCTGCTGTAGGTGACCCTGGTCATGCTAAATTAGCAACGGAAGGGGGAGCATTGTGGGAATATTTGCTTTCCAAGGCAATTCCTCACGGAGAATTACCAGATCCGATGAATGTCCGTGACTGGACTTCAAAGGACATCGGCAAATTACCAGCCAAAGATCAAAGGGAATGGCAGAACGCTCAGTTTGAGGAGCTGGAGGCCCTCAAGAAACGCAAAGTTTACGAGCTTGCTGACCTACCTCCTGGCCGAAAGGCTATCAAAAATCGCTGGGTATTCGATTTAAAGTCCGATGGACGCAAAAAGGCCCGCTTAGTCACTAAAGGCTGCTCACAGGTTGAGGGTCTAGACTTCGACGAGATCTTCTCACCGGTTGTTCGGTTTGAGTCGGTCCGCACCATTCTCGCGTTAGCAGCGCTTGAGAAATGGAAAGTCGAAGGCCTTGATGTTAAGTCCGCTTTTCTCTATGGAGAGCTGGACAAAGAACTCTATATGGAGCAACCACAAGGGTTCAAAGTTCCTGGGAAGGAACACAAGGTGCTTCGATTGCTGAAGGCTATCTATGGTCTAAAGCAAGCCGCACGTGCTTGGTGGCATGAGCTTGATAAGAGCCTAAAAGAGCTCGGCTTTACCCGCCTATATGCCGATGCTGGCATTTTCGTCGCAAAACATGCTGACGGAACCATGGTCATCATACTCGCGTATGTGGATGACATTATTGTCACCGGACCAAACACTACCCTAGTCGCGTCCAAGAAGAAACTCTTTATGGACAAATGGGAATGCCGCGACTTAGGAGAATGCAAGGAGTTCCTATGTATGAGGATAGATTATCGAGATGGGAAGACCTACCTTGATCAGGTTCCCTACCTTGAGAAAATTCTCAAGCGCTTTGGTATGGCCGATGCCAAGGCTGCACAAACTCCGCTTCCCACCGGCTATAAACCTGAACCGTTTGATGGAACTGCTACGGCAGCTCTCCAGTCTCAGTACCAATCGGTGATCGGATCCTTGCTATATTTAATGCTCGGAACACGTCCCGACCTAGCCTTCACTGTTACGCAAATGGCAAAGTTCGCTCATAATCCATCTGAGGAACACCTCAATCAAACCAGGCACATCATGCGCTACCTTGTCGGTACGCGCAAATACGCCTTGGTCTATGATGGAAGGAGTGATGGAGGGCTATATGCCTATTGTGACTCGTCATATGGAGATGACAGATCAGATGCAGATCGCAGACGTCGATCAACGCAGGGATATCATTTCACCCTCGCGAATGCATGCGTCAAGTGGCACTCTAAGACACAGACGCTGATCTCCACGTCCTCCACCATGGCAGAGTACATAGCACTCTCTGACTGTGCATGTGATTGTGCATGGTACAAGATTCTATTCTCTGAACTCGGAAAGCCCATGCCTTACGTCCCTATCTATGGTGACAGTCATGGAGCGATCTTCAATGCTCAGAATCCCGTAACACAAAAAGGGATTAAGCATATCGAGATCTGCTATCATTACATCCGAGAACAGATCGAGAAAGGTGCCGTTAAAGTATTTGCCGTTCCCACTTCAGAGAACGTTGCAGATATGTTCACCAAGAATCTGGGACCGACGCTCTTCTTGAAACATAGAAAGGAGCTTGGTATAGAGTTTTATTCTCTATAAACCCATACCCACAGACAAGTAAGTGCGCTAGTGCTGCACTACTTGAGGGGGAGTGTTGGCATAAAACCACGTGACCTCATACGTCACAATTATGACATGTGCTGTGCATATTACGCAGCACTTACACATCATATGCTGTACATTGTTCTACAGCATTCCGTATGATTCTATGTCAAATATGCGTACATAGTAGCACGGACCATCTCTGTAGAGTATATAAGGACGTCTACTATGCCCTAATAGATTAAGTCTTTTACTTCTAGCTAGTCTTGCTTAGCTTCGCCTCTACACACATAACACCCAAGGTAAGGGCTATGGTAGTGTCAGCTACCTCTGCGCTGCGCGTCCTACACACGATACATGCCTGTTAATAGAGGATGGTGGAAGTGAGGCTCAAATTTTATTTTTCCGGAGTAAAAGTCACACCACAAAGGTGACGTCAAAGATTGGCAAAGATGATTGTCTTAAGCATTGTAGCTACATTTACGACCCATAACAGGTCCCTCCCATGAATTTCGTCCTGTGTTGAGTCAATTTTAATACCAAACAGTTTCTATGAATGTATGGCTACTGTAGGAGATGAATGAGTACCTCTGATGTTGTTTTTTTGCCAGTATGTTGCAGTCTCTACATCAAAATCTGTCATTTTTTTTTTCCGTTGTAAACTGGATGAGGCGAGGATAAAATATGTATTCCGAGAATTCATATCATAAGATACAATGTGTATCTAGCCTACACCCAAATTAAATGTAGTAACCAGCCCACAGCAAGGATAAAATGTGGGCAGAGATTGACATATCAATAGAATCTGAGACTCAGAAAGCGCCTCAAGGCATGGCTTGAATATGTCACAGTCAAAATACAGTAGGAGAGAACCCAGAACTTGCCAAATAGATAGGGGTGAGTGTCATATGTGTCGAGAACAATCATCAGAAAAGAAAAAATAGAAACGTGACTGATTCAGTACTCACTTGGAAATCATCATTGTCCACCTTCCTTTCTATCACTGCAGACTTGGAAAAGTGCCCCTTCTATCTAGAGTGGAAGTTCAGGAGGAAGACGAGCATTGCGACCGAGAGATTTGGTGAATGTGTGACGTATGAAGATCTGAGCAGCAGCTGGAATCGACTCAGCATAAGGAAAGTGTTTGAGCTGTGATAATGATATGAGTATAGATAGTGATAACAGACTTACCTATGTGAATGGCATAGATTCCACCAGCTCGCATAACCAACTCTTCCACAGCGGCCATAATTCCGCGCAGTAGCGCATCGGGCTACTTGACACAAACCTGACACGGAGACTCTATACCCGGATGGATATTAGCAGCGGCACGAATCCTCGTCTGGTGACGTTGAGTGCTGCGCGGGGAGCGTAGGTGAGGCGAGTAGTTGGTGGGCAACATGTCACTGAAGGGGGTGAAGGTCGTTCGTCATCGATCATCGATCGCAAGCTAACGGCGCCAGTGCTGGAGCGTGTCCGGGAACCGGCAACCATCAGCCGGACCTATTTAGACAAATAATTGGCCTCTGAGGCGGTCTAGCGCTTGAGAAGCGTCAGGCCTGAGGTGGCTTCATTCAATATGGAAACATCCAAAACTCTGAAGATCTTGAATGAGACGACAATAACGAGAGATCCTTCCACACAAGTTTTCCTCAAGGACAATCGCGACTTGTCAACCAGATTTCATATCGTTCTTCGGTATGTCAACCTGTTTGCATATGTTCATGTATAACTTGTGTGACTAAGGACACACTTACAGCATCGACCTTTCATCTCTTAAGCCTAGCTCTTCGTCCATCCGAACTACTCTCGACTCGGAATCTCCTTCCACCGCTCTAATGTTGTCACTTGGCTCTTTGGTCAGCCGTGGTCTAGGAGACCGCGTCCATTGACAGGCCGCCGCAATCCTTCACCCTTCACCTACTGCGTGACCAGTATCTCAAGCACCCCTTCGTACCCGATGTTATCGTCATCGGTCTTGTCCTTGATCCTCAAACTGCGTGCCGCCTCGCTGATCACGGTCCTGCGGCTGACGACGAAGACCAGGTTGCCCTTGACAACTTCCCAGAGCGATTGTTCAACAAATTCCTAAGTGCCACTTTGGCCTCGAGGAAGACGCATTCTAAACCTGGCAGTCCTCTTTCGACTCAGTTCTCCGACTCAACGGTTCCATTTCAAGCAAGTACCGGTGTTTCAACCGGTTTCAAAGGCGCTATGACGGCGTTTGACAACTTGGTGAAGGCGATCAAGGCCTTGGATAACGAGCTCCCATTGACCCTCTCTACTGTCAGCCCTACATCAGAACCTTTGCGGTACACCAGCGTCTTCAGTCCTGTCCCTCTACCAGCATCCTTGGCAACGTCATTGCCACCCAATAACTCGCTATCTCACTCCCATTGATATCGTTCTCGAATTCGAGAAGTCATCCGACTCAAAGTGGCCTGATGACCTCCGAGCAATTCAAAAGAAAGCTCGCGTTCTTCGAGCAGCTCGCGTCGGTGGTCCATTCAAATTCAACTTCCCCCAGGTGGTTAACACCGGTACCGCTCCCCACGAGAAAAGCTCCAACGTATTTGGGAGAAAGTGGACACAGCAATTGCACTCGCCCGGAGGGCAGCCACAGCTACAAGCGGACTCACCTCGACATTATGATGATTCAAGGTGGTGATGATGCACCACCTTCACCCCACGAGGAACGAGGGAGACTTCCATAGGACGCAACGCGCTCAATTGAAGTGGAAAGGGACAACAAGGAGCTGATACGATTTGCACTGTTATGTAACTCGCGACCTGATAACGCATATCAGTTATGGTGGATTATCCCTCAAGAAATCGACTGTGTAAACAGCGACTAACTTACAGTCGAATGTATGTTGGGCTCACTGAATGATATGAGCCGACACCAAGAACTTTTGAAAATCGCAAAATCAATTCGAAAACGTTCCCGTAAACATGGTACACGAGCGGTACTTATCAAGCTTCTGATCATAAACACATCACTCTCATCATTCGGCCATGCCAAGATGTCCTTGGACGAACAAAGAGCTGACCGAAACTCGGGAAGGTCGTGAACACGGAAACACCAGACCGAGCGAGCAAGGAATAGCTAGAGGATATAAGATTTGCTCGGTTTTTCATCTTGACAAACGACAGGAGTCCTGAGCAGGAGAAGAACGCTGAAACTCTAGCACATCTAGACCCTGATGTCGCAGCTTAGAGGGTCAGAGGGTCGCATAGCCTTGAATTTATCCGTTCGGGTTGCGTTCGGTAACGTATATGCGCTGGTTTGTCGTCAGGAGGGTCCCAGTACCATAGACTTACGATTTCACGTCCCATTTTGACGAGCTCCCTTTGGTACGTATGTACTTGATGATTCCTTTGATTAAGCGAGGAAAGTTGGAGAAGAGGGTGTGGAGAGCGATGTATTAATTGATTCATGGAGTCTGATTCGATGCCCCGCGGGGCAGTCTTTGGGGGTATAACTGGATTGTGTTCGTTCATCCTTGAAAGAGTCTGCCGGAGGAGCACAGTGGAGATCGTGTAAGGCTTTCTCGCGCCCTTGGCCGATGAGAATTGCTTTGAGATAGAAGGGGAAGAAAGAAGTTACAGGCCACCGACCCTAAAAACTTCATTGTATGCGAGTCTTCCGGGATCCCCTCGGCCAGCCTCGATCTCGTTCATCCGATACGCCTTGAGGTCCATGCTATGATAAGGGCTTAGTGCAAGAAGAGTGTATGAAGAGCTGGCGTCGCGTCCATGGAGTCGTGTATATTAGATGTCCGCATGAAGTTGGTTGAAAGAGTTCAAGGAATAATTAATAACGTACGAGGTATCATGTTTTCACGCGGGTATGGATCTTCACGAAGGTTGCGGTCCAACCTCTCTTCAATGACCTGTTGGCTTCGACTCAGCGCTGTGTATGACGAAACAAGTGCTCTCCCCATATAACGGCATCATTGCGTCGGTCTCCGTTAGTAGTGGTGTTGCACAATCCTTGGTAAGTGTGATGACCAGTGACATGCCGTGACATAGCGTCACAGGGCCAATTTCTTGAGACATGGACTTTGTACCTTCCACAACACCAATTCAATATATTTTTTGCACTGGGTTTGAGGGAATGATGTGATTGAATCCACTGAGAGAGTTTTCCATGTAGAAATTTTATTTATTGCTCCAAAAATGCGAAATCAGCTTGTTTTCCCTGCCAAATTTGGCACTCTGGAGAGATTGGACTATAGCTTTCCAACCACAACACGTATGAGCATGGTTTGTAGGAGGATATTACTTAGAATTTGAATTCTAATCGATCTACGGATTCAGAATTTTTATTTGTGGCCCCTATGTCGAGATCACCCCTAAGAATGGGCACTTTAACATAGTTATGAGGTAGTAATTAAAATTCTGGACCCGTAGGATTGAAGCCACATATTAATCGGTTATTTAGTCTCTGCAATTCTAAGCCAAAATCCTATCCATTGTGAAGCTGATAGCTCGAGTAGGCAACATTGGGCTAATAGGTGCTGCATAGCCACCAAAATCAGACACATTGTAGATTTTTATACATTTGAATAGAGAATATCTATGCAATTCTGGCGCATTTTTTTTCTTGTAAATCGGTGGAGAATTGACTGAGCTACATCATTTACAAGTTTGAGCCGTCGAG